CTCTAGTGGTAGAGCTTCTTTATTCTTACCCTTTAGTGCTGCCACATAGCACTGGCGGGTGGCATGTTGGTCCCCATGAACAACTCTGACATTGTGCTCGGTGAAGAACTTGAGAGTGAGGTGGTAAGAGGAGATGGCTGCCCAGAGAGCATGAATGGTTGGTCTTCCCATGATTGCATTGTAGGGTAAGTCGATCCTCATGACCAGAAACTTTGTCATCCTCATCACCTACTGGGGCTTCGTTCCTACTATGACTGGTAGGGCGATCTTGCCCTCTGGTTTGACAACATTGTCGGAGAAGCCAACTAGTGGGACATCTGCTGTCTGAAGGCGCTCCGGCGCTATCTTCATCTTCTCGAATGCTTCGTAAAAGAGGATGTCAGCCAAGCAGCCGCTATCAACGAGAATCCTCTTGACTACGAAGTTCGCTATGACAACCGAAACCACCTTCAAATCCTCGTCTGTGAAGGAGAGGGATTCTTCCTGCTTCTGCTTCTTGGGGGCCGGCCCCTGGACGTTTAATTGCCTGGCGTAGGCTTTGTGAGCCGAGGCTGAGGCTCCACCCGAGGCCATGCCTCCAGCTATGACGTCGGCTATTTGCTGATACTGCTATTGCTGCTGAGAGGATGAGGTGCCGGCCTCACCCCCGATGTACTGCTTGAGGTGGCATCGGCGAATGAGGACTCTATCTTATTCTTGAGATCGTAGCAGTCCCCGGTGTCGTGGCCAATGCCTCTATGGAATTTGCAATACTTCTTTGGGTTCCCCCTTCACAAATTCTTCTTCAACTTCTCAGGCCACTTCCTGAATTTCTCCTCCCTAGGGCCACACCCGCTTGCACCTACTTACTGCGTGACCACGGACCAAGAAATATCACAGACCAAAGGTTGGTCACGTTGACGTTGAGTCTCCCTTCAAATAACAATCTACTCCACTTTGAATAATATGCCAATCTGTCCTTGTAGAAGGGCTAAAAGTTTGGATATATCATGTAAGTGATATTCCTCCACTAAGTGCTATAGAAAAATTGAGGATAGTATTTACTTCATGGTTGTTTGGCACCGGGACATTATCCATGCACGAATATAAAGATGTTGAAATCCATTCAATATTCAACGAAATACAATTACAAATTTTATCAAAAGTTATTATACATATAAATGATCATGGTTTTTAAAACCGGATCGGACCGGATGGTTGGACTAGAAAAACCAGGAACCAGTTAGGTGATTGGTTTTGGTTTTTTCCAAAACTGGAAATTTGTCCAAAACCGTTGATTTTGATGAACAAACCACTGACCCGGGCGATTAACCATTTGAATGGCTTTGACCGTTTTTTATTTATTTTTATCAGAACAAACCGGCCATTCAGTTCAAACGGTCGGACCATTCGACTTAGTAACCGGATCCTGACTAGTTCAGTCTCCGGGTCGGTTTTAAAAACTATGTAAATGATTATTAAACAGATATTGGATGCCAGGAGTTGTTGAAAGTATCGATTTCGGTAGATTGCAAAACAAATGGAAAACTCCTAGCTTTTACCGATTATGTGCTGTGAGTAATTTTCATTTTCGTTTATAAAGAATCTATAGAGTTCATTAAAGAAAAGAATAAAAATTGGATTAATTTATAGATAACAAAGAAAATGAAAGGCGAAGAGCCGGTTGGTGAGATTTGTAGATGGACTTTGTTTGCAAAAGTCATTTTTGGATTTGTAGATACACTTTCTTGGTGAATTTAATTTGAAATGAAAGGACAAATTGGTACAAATTTTCTGTATAGAATTCTTATAACTCTACACCTTGCCAACTGAATTCTCTATTTTTTTTTTTTGTTGTTTATAGAGTTTGTATTGTTTTTCTGTAAAATTAACTTCAATAGTAATTGTATAGGTATTTGGTTCGGACATTTTCTTTCTTGTTATGAGGATTCTTACAAAAGGGGTCTACTTGAAATTGTGTCAAAAAGTTCAAGGGAGATGATTGTAACTACCAAATTTCAAAGAAAGTTTCTACAATGCAGAATCTTTAGGGAAGATTTTAGCAATTTATCCTAATTTTTAATTCTTTTTTCTGATTTTTTGAATGGTAAAGAATTCTTGTTCTAAATGGAAGTAGGCCTGTACGTGTACATAGATCAAATTTGAATCAATTCTATTCTATGTCTATGTCTCTTGCTTCTTCTTATTTCAACAACAAGATCGTTGTTAAAACAATTGTTTTCTATTCTTTCAATAGTTACTGATGTAGGAATATTTGGCCGATTTGCAAATCTTAACATGTGGCGTCCATCGAATGCATCTTGACCATCCATCATTAACTACTATCAACCACTTGCCAACTATTCCTCTTCTAAGGCAATTCAGCTATAAAAGGGACTTCCACATTAAGGTAAAAATATAGAGACTTAAGCTCTAAGCTTGCTTACTTGTTTGGTCTGACCCCTCATAGCCCTCGATTAATTTGACCAGCAGAGTTTTAGCCCCTTGATCAACTCCCAGGGCCTCTAACGTCTTATTTGTCTGATTCTGTTGGACGCGTCCACCTCGGACACTAGAAATATAATTAATTATTGCCCTCGGCTCCATATTTTGCAGATATAATTAGATTTTAGTAGACTTACAGCAAAGAGGTAATGGTGTACATAAAAATGGGAGGAAAAAAAGTTAGAGGAAAGTAGTTTCGTCGAAAAATGAAAAGAGGAAAGACAAAGGAGGGAGAATTTGTTGAGATTTGAGATTGAGCCTAGAGAGATAAAAGGGATGGGATGGGATGGTTATGGAGAGATGAAATTATGTCAGAAAAGACTGAGGGTGACAGGTAGAACAGTATAGGGTTGGTAGGTATATAGGTATATGTGCAAGATACATATAAGAATAAGAATCATCCATAATTAACATATAATATATACTATAATATTATTTTATTTCCATTTGAATTTTTATCAAATCAAATGGAGTCAAATTTGAATTTGATTGTTTATAACATTCCAATATTCCAATTCAATTTGATCTTCGAATTTGGATTTTCAAATGCCATTTACCGATAGGAAAAGTATGGGCAGTCCCATTGCATAAATCTGAACACCAGGCCAGCCCATACAGAATTTACAATGATATTAAAGTTTGAATTTTGAAATTAAAAGACAGATTCCCATGCCGAGTACGCATTACACTCTTACCTATATTTTTCGTGTGAGGTGGCAATCCAGCTAGGATTTCATTCATAATAATATTTATTTAAATTTTTATTTGAAAATTAACCTTAAGTTGTAAAGACTAAAATGACCATGCCAGGGCCCACCCTCTTCTCTCCCGCCCTCCTTCTTCTCTCTCTTTCCTCGTCTCTCACAATCTCAACTCTCTTCACGTTTCTTCCTGCAAATTTTCCCTCAACGACTGAACTTCGGCTGCTCTACGTCCTCTCTCACTCTCTTTCGTTGTCTCTCATAGTCTCAGCTCTCTTCTCTTCGGTTGCTTCCTTGCAACTGCAAGTTCTCCTCCCCAATGGTGCCCCTCATTCTCACTCTCATTTTCTCCTCCCTCGCTCCCCCTGTCTCCAGTTCTCAGTCTCTCTTGCTCTCACTTTCTCCCGTTCTCGCTATCCCTTTTTCACACTCTCATTTTCTCCTCCCTCGCCCCCCTCAATCTTGCTCTCCCTCTATTGCGTCCTCACCCTCTCCCGCTCTCCCTCTATCAGTCTCTCTCACTCTCGCTTTCTCCCGTTCTCTCTCTCCCTCTCTCCCCATCTCCCTCCCTCTCATTATCACTTTCTCCCGTTCTCCCTCTATCTCGCTCTCCCTCTCTCCTATTCTCCCTCCTCGCTCTCACTCTCTAACTCTCTCCCGTTCTCCCTCCGTCTCGCCCCCACTCTCTCTCTCTCTCTCCTGGTCTCCCTCCCCCTCTCTATCTCTCTCCTGCTCTCCCTCTGTCTCGTTGTCCCTCTCTTGCAAATTTGTGGTTGAGGTTGAATCTAGAGGCATTGGAACTTGTCAGTTGGAGGCCATTTCTTGTTGTTACATGAGATGAATTTTCCATGTAGCATTGTTGCTTTTTTTCACTTCTATTCATGTCTCAATATATACCAGGTGAAGGCCCACCTTAACCGTTTTTGTTTCTTGCATAGCATTTGTCACTGCTTCATCATTTTGTTTGCCTTATCCATCAGACTAAAGTTTTGGCAATACATTGAGGCCTTCCCTAACCGGAGGAAGTTATCACTTTGAACATTTGTGTCACTAACAGGTACAAAGAAATTGTCAAATACCTGTTAGTATGCTTCTTTAGTAAGGATTGTATTCAACGCATTGGGAAAAACCATTGAAGGAGAGGGAGAGCAGCCGAAGTCCAATCGAGGGTCAGTCGAAGGCCAAGGGAAAAGTTGTAGGAAAAAACAATAAGAGAAGAGGAGCGCCGCTGGGGAGACTGAGGGGGAGCGAGGGAGGAGAAAATGAGAGTGAGAAAGAGGAACGTCGCTGGGGAGGAGAACTTGCAGTTGTAGTTGCAGAAGCAGTCGAAGAGAAGAGAGTTGAGAGTGTGAGAGAACGAAAGAGAGTGAATAGAGAGGGCGGGAGAGAACAATGACCATGGGCCCTAGCAGGTTGTGACATGGAATCCGAGTTTGATTGCCATCTCAGAGGAAAAGCATAGGTAAAAGTGTGATGCTTACATGGAGTGGGAATCGGTCTTATAATTTCAAAAGTTGAATTTGAGAGTCATTGTAAATTCTGTATGGGCTGGCGGCCTGCCCAGTACGGATATACATCCGTTTAATTTGGGAGGCCGTGCCGCGTTTTTATCAAAAACTCTCCTGACGAGTCCTGACTTCTGCTTATTCCTGAATCCTGACAGTTATAACCCAAGTAGTTAAAAAGTGAAGGTTGGTGTTGTCGGATGACCCAACCCAGATTTTGGATCCTTCCTCCTTGTAATAGAACTGTAGTAGTTGTAGGATTTATATCCTTTCTTATTTTAGCTGATAACGAATTCAGTTTAGCCTCTACATACGTTCTTATCAGTACTGCAGTTCTGTTCATTACTTCTTCCCACAATGGCCATCAACAAGAAGTCGATGCTCTCTCTGATTCTGATTTTGATTAGCTCTCTCCTTCCATTTCCTATATCTGCTCCACCAAAGGGCTGCTCCTTTGATGCCATCTATCAACTGGGAGACTCTATATCAGATACTGGAAATCTGATTCGAGAAGCTCCAATCGGGTCCTCTTCTGCGTTCGCTAGGCTTCCTTACGGTGAAGCTTACTTCAAAAAGCCTACTGGTCGTTGCTCTAATGGCCTTATTATGGTTGACTTCATAGGTAACTTATACAAACTTTCTATGAAAGATAGCTACAAATCTCTTTCTATATATGACCTAAATAAGTCTCTGTAATAAATCATCAATGTAGTATCGGAAGTAGTTCGCTTGGCTACCTTCTTATATTTTCATTTTAGATCTTCACATCCTTCTGGGTTTTCTATTTTCTTGTAGCAGGTTCTCTGCTTTCATTAATTTCTTTTGGATATAGCCGGTGTAGATTTCTATTGGGATTCTTTTATATATTTCCTTCCTTAATTTCTGTTTTCTTCACAGATAATAATATCAGTCTAATCATGATAATCACCTGACTGCTGGTTTCAAACTTTCAATGAAACCCAAGTTTGCTTTAGAACAGTATTGGTAAGGGTAAGCTGTGTCGATTGGGTCAGACTCGATTCAGATTGTTGGTGGTCTGGACTACTGGACCGGTCCTTTTCTGTTTTGATCTCCATCTCAGTTTTTTATCAGAATGTTCATTGCTAATTATATATCTAACGTTTTTTTTCCGTTTTGATGCATTGCAGCTTCAGCCCTTCATCTACCTCTTCTTAACCCTTACTTGGAAGGGGATGCCAACTTCACTCATGGAGTGAACTTTGCAGTGGCTGGGTCTACAGCACTTGACACATCCTTCCTTGCAAAAAACAAAATTATAGTTCCATTGACCAACAGCTCCCTTTCAGTCCAACTTGGTTGGTTCAAACACCATCTAAAATCCATCTGTTACACACAAACAGGTAAGTGACAATATTGAACACTTGCTTTAAATTAGCTCAATTATATTACACCATGGTTACAGTTTTAAGAAGATTACTATTCAGTTTCAGTTATTGAACTGTATTTTTCTTTGATCTTTGTTTAGAGTGTGCCCACAAGCTTGGAAGGGCCTTATTTCTAGTGGGAGAAATTGGAGGGAATGATTATATCTATGCATTCTTTCAAGGAAAAAGCATAGGAGAGATTCACAGCTATGTGCCTCATATTGTCCAGAAAATCAAGGATGCTGCTAGAGTAAGTCCCTTGTCTACCTCCTGACCATTACCATTTTTATGTTTTGCTAGTAAAGGGTCTTTAATTTGTAATCTTGCTTGATTGATTAGTTTTTACTTGGTTGAACTATTGCTCAAGCTTCATTCTCTCATGTTGTGTGCAGAAAGTGATAGATCATGGTGCAAAGACAGTGATCGTTCCGGGGCATTTCCCTATAGGATGCTTACCAATTTATCTCACAGCTTTTAGAAGCAATGATCCAGCAGCTTATGATGAACTCAAGTGTCTGAAAGGCTTGAATAACTTGGCAATGTTTCACAACAATCACCTCCAAAGAGCCTTGAAACAGCTGAGGAAGGTGTACCCTGATGTCACTATAGTTTATGCTGACTACTACACAGCTCTTCAGTGGGTACTTAGCCATGCTCCTTCTCTTGGTAAGTCCTCTTTCTTCTGCTATGGACAAACAATCATTTTGTATCTTGAAGGAAATTTTAAAAACCAATTATGAATGAGTCCAGATCTCCTGCCCACAAGAACTCTGCACACGTTTGCCCACATAACATCACAGCAACATATGGAGAATATCTCATCCTCCTGCATAGTATTATGCAGGGGGAGATGTTCCCAATTCACAGGGTAGTGTGTTGTGAGTAGGCGTGGGAAGAGTTCTCGTGGGCAGGAGATCTCGCATCTGAATGAATCCCTTTTTTCTCATTCCCTATATCTTTATCTTGGTGTACAGGATTTGAAGACAAATCTCTACAGAAAGTCTGTTGTGGAATTGGAGGAGACTACAACTTTGATTTGACCAAGGAATGTGGATCTCCTGAGGTTCCTGTTTGTCCTGACCCAGAAACACGCATTAGTTGGGATGGTTTTCATTTGACAGAGAAAGCTTACAAGTACATGGCTGATTTCCTCATGCACAGCATAATGCCAGAAATCCAATGTGCCATCTGAACCTGTTTTGGTTCAATAGTCACTGAACTTGATTAGAAATAAGTTACTACTTCAATTGTTAGGTTCCTAAGTTTGGTACTTAGAGTCTAGTGTACTGTACTTCTTTTTCTTTTTTTTTTAATATTGTAAGATGTAAACTTGTCTTTGGGACAATGAACTTTGTCTGGATATGAAATCAAAGCTAAAATTTTGCATTATATTGAATTTACATTTGTAGTCATTAAATTGATATGGTTTCATCTGTAAACATTGCTATATAATAGTAGTGTAAAGAGTGTTGTGAAGCAAAAAACAAGACTAAAAGAAAAGAGGTCTATTATGGTGGTTTTTATAGCAGGGATTTCGGTTGATGGTTTTTATAGTGGGGGTTTTATATATCATAACCCTGTTCTAGTGATGTAGCTCTATTATAATAAATAAACTCACATCACAATGCAATAGAATATTCAGCATGGCCTCCTTTACCATTGCCTCTGCTCAAAACAAAAAGAATACCATGTTATGATATTCGATGATACTGATTGCAGTTCTACCTGGAAAATCAGAACTTGGAAAACTTTGTAGTATGTTGTGATGCCCTTGTATGTATTTGAAAAAAAAAATCCAGAAAATGGGTCCTTGACCTGCGATTTTGTCTTCATTAAGTGCTACTATAAGACTTGATGAGTGTTGTTGCATGGAATGATCATGTCCAAAAGTCATCCAATAAACCAAAACAGCCAAGGAACTTGGGCTTGAAAATTCCTAGTTGATAGAACAATGAAAACATTCCTAATGATTTGATTTTATGTGTGAATCCCACTTTGTAAATGTGGCTCTGATAACATCTCAAGTTCTCAATTTATAGCGGAGATGATAACTTACCACAAAATAGAAAAGGGAAAATTCCAGATTAGTACCCTAAACTTTAGGGGTAGTTTCAGGTTAGTACCCAAACTTTAAATCATGTCTTTGCAGTACCTAAACTTTCAAAAATGGTCAAGTTGGTTCAAAGCCATTAACTGACATTAACTGATAAGTGTAATGGCATAAATACCCCTTGCAGTCCAAAGAAGAGAGAGTAAATTTTTCAAAATGATGAAACTGCCCATTAAACCATTTTTTCTTGGAACAAGCAACAATGTTCATTCCAAGCACCAGTGTTCAACTCATCATCCCAAGAAAAATTGGAGTCCAAAGAGAAAGAGCTCGATCAGATGCCAGATCATTCCCTCGGTCTCTATCTCCTGCCATCAGAGCTCATACAAGAGATCTAACTCCAGCTTGTCTTTGCTTTGAATAACCTCCAAGAAGTGATCATCAATTCCCCGTTAATCTGTGAACAATAGTAAAGCAAGAGGAAAGCAAAAAGAAAGTGGAGAGAGTCCTGTTTCTTTCCCTCACCCCAAAAGGTTACAAGAGCAGACTTTATATACAGGAATAAACCCCAACTAATTAACAAATTTGGCAGAAAAGAATCGTGCTAGCTCAATAACAGAATGCCAACTCGACTAGTAAAAGGGCAAAAGAAAAGAGAATAAAGGAATGAATTGAGATAGTAACTTTACATCCCCCCCCCCCTCAAGTTGGAGTTTGGTGAATATCAAGGAAACCCAACTTGGACATGAAGTTGCTGAATTGAGGACCAGAGAGTGGCTTTGTAAAAACATCAGCTACTTGGTGATGACTAGAGATGTGCTGAGGATTGATAAAGCCTTGCTTGAACTGCTCTCTGACTAAGTGGCAATCGATGTCCAAGTGTTTTGTTCTTTCATGAAACACTGGATTGGCAGTGATGTGTAGAGTAGCTTGATTGTCACACCAAAGAGGAATTGGAAGTTTTAATTGAATGCCAAAATCCTTGAGAACATAGGAGATCCATTGAAGTTCACAAATTGTTGCTGCTAAACTCCTATATTCTGCTTCTGCTGATGATCTTGAGACTGTTGTTTGTTTCTTTGTTTTCCAAGAAATGAGAGCTGACCCCAAAGAAATGCAAAAACCTGTTAAGGATTTTCTGGTTTCAAAACAAGAGGCCCAGTCTGTATCACTGAAAGCTTCAAATTGAAGAGAATTGTCTATTGGATAAAAAATGCCTTTTGAAGGACAACCTTTTAGATATCTAAGAAAGTGTATTGAAGCTTCCCAGTGTGACTGACATGGAGAGTTCGTGAATTGACTTAGCTGCTGTACAGAGTAGCTAATGTTTGGCTTGCTAATATTTAAATACAATAAACGCCCAACAAGCCTTCTATATCTTTTTGGTTTAGCTAGTGAGGGTCCTTTGTTTGCACAAAGCTTTTGACCTTTAGGGAAAGGTGTTTTAACTGGTTTAGCACCTAGGAATCCAGCATCTGTTAGAATGTCAACAATGTATTTCCTTTGGTTAAGAACAGTACCTGAAGAACTCCTACCAATCTCCAAACCTAGAAAATACTTGGCATAGCCAAGATCTTTAATAGTGAATAGCTTATCCAAGTACTATTTGACTGAAATGATATATGCTTCTGAGGTACCTGTTAAAAGCACATCATCTACATACACTAACAGTGCAATGAAGGAATCAGATGTGTGCCTAACAAATAAACAGTGATCATGAGCTGATTGATGGAAACCAAAAGCCTTAATTTTGTCACTGAATTCAGCATTCCATTGTCTTGAGGCTTGTTTAAGCCCATAGAGTGATCTCTTTAGTTTGCAGACTTGATCCTTGGCAGCCTTATAATACCCTTCTGGAGGTTGCATGTAAACTTCCTCATCCAAATACTCATGCAAGAATGCATTGTTGATATCCAATTGATGGATAGGCCATGATTTAGATGTTACAATTGCAAGAAAAATTCTTACAGTTACTATTTTGGCCACAGGAGAGAAACTATCAAAATAGTCAATCCCTTCCACCTGGTGAAAGCCTTTGGCTACCAGCCTGGCTTTGTAATCTATCCACACTACCATCCGGATTCAGCTTCACTTTATACACCCACTTGGAACCAATAGCCCCTTTTTCCTTTTGGTAAATCAGTGAGTTCCCAAGTTTCATTCTTCTCTAAAGCTTATAATTCCTCATTCATTGCTTTAATCCATTCAGCTTTAGTACTGGCTTGATTAAAAGAAGCTGGTTCTTGAATATTTGACACATTAGCTAAAAAGGATAAATATGATGCAGAAAGTGAAGGTGATTGAATAAATGGATATGTTGGAGGTGTGTGAGGTGATGATGCATGAACCTGTGACTGATTGAAGATTCTGTCAATAGTTCTAACATTGCTGCAAGCCAAATTAGTAACATAGTCTGATAGGGGGTAGGTTGTCTGGATTAAATGGGACTGTAGTTTCAAGAAGTAAATCATAAGGTGGATCAATGGTTTCTGTTGCTGGTTCAGAGGTTGGTGAATTCAAAATATCAAGTGTTTCATTGGGCTCATCTGTTGATGGTATGGGTGATGATGCATCTGATGTAGAGGTTGGTAAAAGGTATGAAATATCATCTAGAGAGGGTAGTGGTAAAACGATTGATGGATTTTTGTCAACAGAAACTAAATTGGTTCTGAAAGGGAAGATTTGCTCATAGAATTTTATGTCTCTTGACACATAAACTTCATGTTTTTCCAAATCATAGGCCTTATAGGCCTTTTGGCCAGGACTATACCCAATGAATATACACTTAAATGCTTTATGATCAAATTTGTTTTTATCAGGTAATGTATTTGTCACATAGCATAAGCAACCAAAGCATCTTAAATTGGTATAATCCGGTGGTTTATGAAATAGGATTTCAAATGGAGATTTCCAGGCTAACACTGATGAGGGTAGTCTGTTTATAGTATGAGTAGCCATAAGGATGGAATGTCCCCGGAATTTTTTTGGCAAGCAAGATTGAAACATAAGAGCTCTTGCCACTTGCAAGAGATGCTTGTGTTTCCTTTCAACAATTCCATTTTGTTAAGGTGTATAAGGACATGTTTTTTGATGTAACACCCCTTTGCTAGAAAGAAAATATTGGAAGTCATGGTTTGTAAACTCTGTTCCATTGTCAGACCTTATGGTTTTGATAGTTTTATCAAATTGGGCCTTAACCATGTTGAAAAATTGAGTGAAAATGGCAAGTGTTTGGGTTTTGTGTGACATCAGAAAGGTCCAAGTTGCTCTGGAATGGTCATCCATAATTGTTAAAACATATGTGGCTCTAATAATTGAAGGCTCTTTATATGGTCCCCAAGTGTCCAAATGGATTAATTCAAAGGGTTGATGGGTAGTGATGCTGTTGGTTGGAAAATGTAGCCTTTGTTGCTTAGACAAGTGACAAATTTCACACCCAACCTAATTTTGTAAATTCAAGCATTTAAGAAAATCAATATGCTTTAAAACTTTCATTGAAGCATGTCCCAAACGGCCGTGCCAAAGAGAAAATTTTGAAATAGCCATACTTTCATTACTAGAAACAGCAGCATTACAAGGTAACAAAGTATCATTGAAATTCAAAAACAACTTGTCACTGTTTGGCTCTTTATTACATCTAAATTTCCTAAGACAAGAGTTGTCCAGGATGTATAAGCTTCCTAGTAGTTTCCCTACTGCCAGAATCCTTTCAGTCTGCAGGTCCTGCACCAGACAATGGCTAGGTAAGAATGTGAACTTTATTTGGGCAGACTCAGCAAGTTTATTTACTGATAGGAGGTTGAATTTAAAACTAGGAATGTGCAATGCATCTTTCAAACAAATATCAGTTGACAAATGAATATTTCCAATGCTATGAACAAATTTAATGGATCCATCTGGTAAGCAAACAGGTAGTGGATGTTTAGTGGGTTTAGGCTTATCAAAAATGGATTTATTTCCACACATGTGGTTTGAAGCCCCTGTGTCAATTATCCAAGTACCCGACTTCAATAAGTCAATAGTACTCAATGCAAAACTTAAAGCACATTCAGTATTGAAGGAATTACCTACATAGTTGTCCAGGTTAGCAAAATCGACATGGCTGCCTTCCATAGTCATCTTCCCTTTCATCAGCTTCAGAATTTCTTGTTGCACCATATTTGCCAAATTCTTATCAGTTTTCCCATCAAGCTTCTCTTCAATTCCAAAATCAAAGGAAGTTTCCACCATATTGGCCATTGTTCAGTTTCCTGATTTTTTTGCTGCTCCTTGAACACCTTATACCATTCTGGGTATCCATGGAGC